CAGGTATACCACAAAGTGACACTTTTTAGAGATTAGTACTAAATTTGTTTTCTTACACCGTTGCAAGACCAATTATAAGTTTTCAAGACACTCATCAAATGAAGAATTGAAGATTGAATCACCCACTGAGACTTCTATTTCACTATATTAGAGAACTCTGAAATGTAGATGGAGCATTACATAGACCAAATGGCATCTTATGATAAACAAAGATGCTATAGAGATAGGTAAAAGTAGTTTTCTTTTGATCCTCAAGTGCTATCGGAATATGATTATAATCGAAGTATCCATCAAAAAAGCAATAATAATGTGAATGACTTGCCAACCTCTCTACCATCTGATCAATAAATGGAAAAGAAAAGTGATCATTCTAAGTAGCAGTGTTGAGTTTGCAATAATCAATGCAAGCTCTCCATCTCGTAACAGTTTTAGTGGAAATTGATTCATTCTTCTCATTCTATACCACTATAATTTTCCATTTATTTCAACATAACCTGAACAGGACTGATCCATACACTGTCTTAGATAGGATATATGATCTCTGCATCCAAAAGCTTCAACATTTATGCTTTGACTACTTCTTTTATATTTGGACTGAGTCTCCTTTAATTCTCTATTCTAGGTAAAAAAAATTACCTTTCATGAGAATTTTGTGCATGCAAAGTTTAAGGCTAATCCCTTCGATGTTCGGAATAGACCACCCAATTCTGTCTTATTTTTTCTGAGTACCCACAATAGTATCTCTCCTTCAAGCTCATTGATGGAATTTGAAATAATAACAACCAATGTGAAAGATTATCCTAAGTAGGCATAATGAAGATGAGATGGCAATTGCTTGAGCTCTAACTTAGGAGGCTATTGAATTGATGGAAAAGACTTCGTATCTTGTACTCGACTCCTCAAAGTGTAGTCTACGTCTGTATAGAGGATTTGCTTTAAGATATCTTGCACATATATCAATCTCACTAGAATTAGAGTGACTAGATTGAAAATGCACAATGTACACCTCGTATAGATCAGATAGATTATGTATCAGAAAGGTATCATGAACCACTATGTCGATCACATCGATCTGAATGCAACCGTCTGACTCATTTGGGTATTTCGTGGCCTTGAATACATTAAGTGAGACCTGTTCTTCATAAAGCCTCAAAATAAGTTTACATTTTTGCACATCAATAAGAGCTTTACTGGTAGCTAAAAAATGGTCGACCTAAAATAAGTGAAATGGCTCTATTATACTTCATATCAAAAATAAGAAAGTCAGCTGGAAAGATGAATTTGTCCACTTTCACTAAAATATCTAAAATGATCCCTCTTGGGTGCAAGATTGATTGATCTGCTAGTTGTAAAGTCACTATGGTTGCTGTAGCCTTTCCCAAGCTTAGTTTTCTGAAAATAGAGTAACATCAAGTTAATACTTGCTCCTAGATTACAGGAAGCTTTATCAAAATAATAATCGCCTATAGTGCAGGTATAGTGAAATTCTCTGGACTGGCATAACACTTCTCAATCAACATCATTGTTTCATGTTCATCTAGCTTGCATTTGTTAGATAAAATATCCTTCAAAAATTCAATGTAATTAGGCATCTAAACGAGAGCATCAGCAAAAGGGATGTTAATGTACCACTTCTTGAAGATGTCAAGGAATTTTGCATAATGCTTGTCTAAACTCTCTTTAGCAGTGTTAGCTGTTAGTCTATTCCACATGCTTTTCATCAGTAGAAGGTACTTTTTATTTATTTGCAATTAATCTTTTAACATGAATCTCAAGTAATTGGATTACACTCCTAGTAGTAATTGCTTTCACATGTTCCTTAAGGTTAACCTCTATATTACTTGGTAATGTACGTGGTTCTCTACTTGATATAGCATGTACCATCTATCCCGTTTGAGTCTCCAAGTTTTGAATTGTTGCATTCTGATTCTAAAGAGTCGCCTCGGTCATTCTTATAAATTGATTGTTTGCCTCCATTTATTAATATATTTTTTCCATGAATTTACCAAACATCTCTTCCAAGGATGTTCTTTTCTCCACTTGCTAAAACTGAAAACCTTGTGGTCTATTGTGATTTTTATTACTCCAAGAAAAGTTTGGATACTTCCTCCAACTAGGATTGTAAATGTCAGAATATGGATTATTTTGTTGGCCGTGACCCTTTGTACATAATCAACTTGTTCTATGTCTTGTGCAATAATTGAACAGTCAGCTATGTTGTGGTCTACCTCGCATTCTTCCCAACTTGCTCAATTAGCTTGTACTGCATTAGCTAACAGTGACATGCTCTCAACCCTATGAACAAAAGAGTTAAGTTTTACAAATAGTATTGTATATGTGGCCACCTTATATACCCTTGGTGCCTTCTTATGAACAATTTGCTCAGTGGCTTACATGACTGTGGTAGTAGCCATTCTCTCAAATAACTTCAAGGTTTCATCAATTATCTTCGTGGATAAGGAACCATTAGATGATGAGTCCACTATACTTATATAAGATGGAAGTAGACCTGCATAAAAATATTGGACTTGAGCCCTTTATTGGTGCCGTGATAAGGACATTTTTGAAGTATTTTCTTGAATATGTTCCATGCCTCATCAAAGGATTCGATTTCTCCTCGTCGAAATATGGATATGTTTGCTTCAACTTTTCTATCTTCATCGGTGGGAAAATTTGGTATAAAATTTTTCAGCTAAGTCATTCCAAGTAATATACTAGTAATAAGCGGCGAGTCTAACCATTTAAGCGCTCTATTATGTAGAGTATGTAAAAATAATCTCAATTTGATAGCATCATCTGAAATCCCTAAATATATAAAGTGTTGACAAATCTTAAAAAAATCAAGAGACGTGTATGTGTGGATTCTCATCATCTCTTCCATAGAATTGATGGCCATTTTGAAACAACGTATTTAACTGGAAGTTCGACTGCTCAAAAGGAGGACAATCAACGCTCAGTTGACTCTGAGTAATTTTTGGAGTCATAAAATCCCCAACTAGCATGTTCCATTCATCAACCATTGCCTCTTTATTTAGTTGAACGACCGAATTATTATGTGCATTAGCCATCTTTGCGTATTGTGCTTCTTATTCTTCTCTTTGGTTGTGGTTAAAATGTATGTTCGATTTTCAGATCAACTGAAATTAGTTCATCATCTCTCAAATGTTGCATAAAATGTCTGAAAAAGAGGGAAAAAAATAGAAGCACTAAAATAAATTAATAGAGAAAAATAAGATAAAAGTTCAAATTAGTTCCAATGTAAATGAAATTAAATTCAAATACAATCCCCAACAAACAGTGTTAAAAACTTGTTACAAAAATATTTGTTTCATTTGGAATTATCGCAAGTGCACTATTAGTTAACAAGTAGTAAGATGAATTTTCAGTCCAAGTATCGTACCCACAGATTTTGTATTAGTTCAAATTTAAATAAACTAATCCTTTACTGAAACAATGAACACTTGAGATTTTTCTGTGACAAAATTGTAATTCATTTATGAAGGCAATAAGTATATTAACCAGGGTCAATGAAAAGACGTGATATGCAAGTTTTTATGAAAATCAATTAATGATAACTACACTAGAATCTCGAATCCCCTTTAACCCTAATTTTACAATTTGAGTACATGATTTAATTATGAAGATCATTATTTTTAAATTTTTTAACAATCCCTCTCAAATAGAATTAAATCTATTCTCACATGTGACCTAACTATATTTTTATAACGGATGGAGAATGCATTGAAAATTTATGAATACTTAAAGCATATCAATATGTTTCCAAGGGCGGATATAAGGAGGGACTAAGCTGGGCTGTAGTTCCCCCAAAGCCCAAGAATTTATTTTTTTTAAGGCATTTTCATTTTTTTTTTGTTTTGTTTGTAAAAACAGTTTTTTATGTGTAATTTATTAGCCCGGCTTGAAATTTTATAACCTGGTCTTGGTTTTAATCTTGGATCCGCCCCCGTATGTTTCTATTCTTTATTGGATTCTACGACAATTGACATATGTAACTTTTTTTCCGACTTTTAGAGGGTAAAATAGACCACAATATACATACAATCACAGTGCATATAATTATACAAAAGATAATTCCATGAAAATTGTTCAATAATTAAAGACGCATTTGAATTTAAAAAACAAAAATAATAATTAAAGGTTCATGATATAAGATTCATTTTAACTCTAACACTAGATTTGTTTAACCTAACATGTTGTGAAGAAGAAGAAAGCAAAAAATATAAAAGTTATTCATCACCCGAAAATTCTTGAATTTAATCTTGGAATTCTTGAAATTCAATCTTGATGTGTTTTTCTCCTCTTTTTGCTATTAATTCTCGAACCCTAATTATGTTTTGAGAGTTGGTATTTATAGTCCCTCTAAAGAGTCCCAAAAAGTTTCTAAAAATCGTGTATATCATGGCCCAAACAGAAGGTTCCTTATTAGAATTGAATTCTAAACGAAAACAGTCTAGGCGGTTGCCCAAGCACAGATGTTTATTTCTGTTTTTTGTTTTCTAACACTGGACGGTTGCTTGACTGTTATAATTGGGTGGGTGCCCATCTTTAATAACTTCCAAAAGTAGCAATTTAGTCCTCTTCTTCATTCGTTCCTTAATTTTTTATCCTTCAACTTCTTCTCATGTGCATATTAGTACCCAAACCGTCCATACAATCATCAATTCGTTCCTATATCTTTTTCAATTGCTTGTGAACGGTCCAAAATTGAAACAATATAAAATTAACCCAAATAAAGTAAAATTCACTACTTAAACGATACAAAACACACATATAATATAGAGAAGTGAAAATGGGGCTAATGGATCTAGCCCAAGCACAAGAAGCTGTTTCTTGATTAAAAAAGTCAAATCTAATTGAATAATCAATATCGAGTTGGCCATTGTTGGACTTCCTTTGTCACGCGCATATCACGTACTTTATAGATATAGTAGAGGAGTTTCACTAAATGTGTTGTTAATAAATGGATAATAATCATGAACGTGTGGTTAAAATTAACGTTTAACTTTAATTGAATACAAAAAGTAACTCTTAATTTTACAAGGACAAAGACATCTCCTCCATGCTTTTTCTCATGAAGATTGGGCCACTGATCGCCATGAAGAGCACCTGTGTAATGTTAGAGAAACCTACCTTTGTGCTAATTCGATGTTGCTCTCCCGAAGCATATAGCGATTGACTTTCATTTAGTTCAAGAAAAAATTAATAAGCGAGTCTCTCACCTATCCTTTAATTTAATAATCACCTTGAAGATGTGCTCACTACTCGGCACCATCTGCAACCACATTCTTTGATCCAAGATTGGTGTCTCAGCTTGTATATATGTCCATCTTGTGTGACATGTTATCGATAATCAGTTGTTGAATTTGGATTTATATTAAAGACCAAAGATTCAATTATTCCCAAAAATCGGACAGCAGATAATCCGTATAATTCATCCACTAGACGATCCCTATAGTACTTGTGTGAATTTTATATGTTCCGTTCTATTGGAGATTAAGACCTTGAAACTCTCCTTTTATGAAAGCTAATGTAATATCCTGATTTCATGAACTCTGTAAGCATATAAGACATGCCTATTTAGTAAAGATCGCAAGACAGTTTTAGAGAAAATTTATAGGGAATGATAAATAATATTCATAAAGGAATATGAAGATTATGCATTAATCTGTTCCAAAAATGACATCCATATAGAAATATGCTGATCTATACTAAATCTAGCCTTTCACTTGAATTTTTTTTTCATAGAAAGGCTATAAACTGATGTCACAAAGTTCAGTTGAATCTACTTAAAAGAGTCAAGTGGAAGGTACTTAACTTTAATTGATGAGGAAAAGTCTATTTTTTTTTTGGAAAATTCAATGTGGGTTTGTGGTCCTCCAGCACTTTCTCATAAGCTAAGAGAAAGTTGAAAATAAAGAATTATTTTAGATCTGTCATTTTCAATCTACCTATTTGGTGAGTTAGGGGGTGGATTCTTACGGTTCATCAAAAAACCGAATCGAAAAACACAACAAACTTAGGAGGGGAACGCGAAGTTTTACCTCAAAAATCGAAACAATTTAAAAGACTAAAGATATATGCAAATGTGTTATGCCCTAAATAATTTGAAGATTTCAACCTTTTATACTTCTAACGGTAAAAATTGTGCAATCAAGTTTGGTGTGATCACATTAAGGCCCATATAACAAACACTTGATGACACAAATACTCCTTTGTCAGTTGAATCTGCAATAATTTTAAAACAGTGAGACTTACATTAGCTAAACCAACAAAATCGTCTTTCTTCCTATTTGCTCATTGTTAATTCCTCCCCCTGTTGCCACCTTTTCCAAACAAAGGTTCTTCCAAAATTGTAGAAAGACCTGCAAGTTAATGTAAAAGAAACTTAACTGCAGAATCTTGAGAATAAATCTCAAGCTATAGAAAATTAAGCATTTAGTTCGGCAAAATGGTATCTGGTATATATGGCAGCATTTGCTATTGCAAATAATATTTCTTACCTGATTTGAAACTTTTCTTTTGCTTCAGAATCCTTATAATTCTTTCATTTGTTTGCTCTCTGTGGCCACTTTCGTCATCATCACACAGTGGTTTTTCTATTTCAGGAAGATTGGTCGATTTCTTTAACTGAGAAGCTTTAAAGAGCCATGTTGAGTCCATCTGTTTGCTGATCATACGTACTGCGTAATATGGGATTTTTACTTGATTAGGTGACTTTTTTGATTTTATACAGCCATTGATGAACATAATACAGTCCATTAAGCTCTCTTTAGCCATCCCTTTCATGTCATATGCCTGTGATCTTCTCCATAGGCTTTTGGAATGAGAATTTGGTGGGCTCGAAAGGCAAAGAGCTCTCGTTGCATCACTGATTGCAGCATCAGGATCTCTCAGCAGCAAATTACACTGTGCTCTATTGCTGTAAAGCACAATTCTTTCATTAGTGTACCTTAAAGGGCACAACTCTATAGCTTCTGTATATTGCAACACTGCTTCATCAATCTCTCCCACCACAAATCTATGATTTCCTTCTTGCTTTAGTAGATTTACCAGAACCCTTTTTTCTTCAAGTTTCTCATCAGAGGTAGCTTTCTCTCTATTGCTTCTTTCTACCTTCAAACTCCATATTTCTTCTAATTCCCTTTGAACATTAGCATTCATGATTTTACTTGTACGTCTAAAATCGTTGAGAAGCACTCTTGTGATTGTTGCACCAAAGTTTTAAAAATTGTGCAATCAAGTTTGGTGTGATCACATTAAGGCCCATATAACAAACACTTGATGACACAAATACTCCTTTGTCAGTTGAATCTGCAATAATTTTACCTTATAATTCTTTCATTTGTTTGCTCTCTGTGGCCACTTTCGTCATCATCACACAGTGGTTTTTCTATTTCAGGAAGATTGGTCGATTTCTTTAACTGAGAAGCTTTAAAGAGCCATGTTGAGTCCATCTGTTTGCTGATCATACGTACTGCGTAATATGGGATTTTTACTTGATTAGGTGACTTTTTTGATTTTATACAGCCATTGATGAACATAATACAGTCCATTAAGCTCTCTTTAGCCATCCCTTTCATGTCATATGCCTGTGATCTTCTCCATAGGCTTTTGGAATGAGAATTTGGTGGGCTCGAAAGGCAAAGAGCTCTCGTTGCATCACTGATTGCAGCATCAGGATCTCTCAGCAGCAAATTACACTGTGCTCTATTGCTGTAAAGCACAATTCTTTCATTAGTGTACCTTAAAGGGCACAACTCTATAGCTTCTGTATATTGCAACACTGCTTCATCAATCTCTCCCACCACAAATCTATGATTTCCTTCTTGCTTTAGTAGATTTACCAGAACCCTTTTTTCTTCAAGTTTCTCATCAGAAGTAGCTTTCTCTCTATTGCTTCTTTCTACCTTCAAACTCCATATTTCTTCTAATTCCCTTTGAACATTAGCATTCATGATTTTACTTTTACGTCTAAAATCGTTGAGAAGCACTCTTGTGATTGTTGCACCAAAGTTCGGTCTAATTGCAAGCGTCCTAAGTTCAACCAAATCAATAAGGTACGAGGTGGAGATTTCAATGATTTTGTACCTGGTTTCTGGATCTTTGAGAAGTAAAAGAAGACAATCAATTCCCATGTACTGCCAATCATCTGAGGATCTAGAGAGACTACACAGATTCACAATTACATATCTTGATTCTGCAATACATTTTCTTCCAACTTTAGTATAACATAGAATTCTAATTAATCCAACTCCTGCAGGTGATGAATGATTTACCAAACCACCCCACATTTCACATAAATCCTCTAGAAATTCTTGCTTGCATATAATGTCCAAAGATCTCTCTTTTGTGGCAAAACAGTTCAGAAGATGTATACACCAACATTGAAGTTGGCTAGCCCATTCTTCTGCCTTCTGATTCTCCATGTCGATTCCACCTACCCCTCTAGCCAGCAAGTCAGAATGATACTTTAATCTCTTGTTAGTATCCTTAATTCCCACAAACATGGTATAAACAATTTCTAGACAGGTAGAAGCCAAGTTCATGGATAATTTAACTAACTCTTCTTCGTATATTGCTACGGATTTGAAGGTCTTCTCATAGCTTGCAAGATGGCCAAGCGCTCTAACAGCAACCCTTTGCTCCACCCAACTCATTTTTCCCCTCAGCAGCTCCATTAATGGTGGTATGACACCTGATTCCACCGCTTTTATCGCGAACTCAGCATTGTTCATAGTATAGGAACCAATTATGTGTGCTGCATAATAGGAAATGTATATATTCTGATTTCTGAATAGCCATGATCTATCATCGACAGATTTTCTTATAAGATTTGCCATGCACTCAAAGACACCAAGATGGGGAAGTTCTTGATCGTCTGGTCGAGTCATCGCCATGTTCCATATCCCACTAACAACGAGAATAAGTTCTTCATCATCTATCAGAGGCATGTATTTCAAGTATTCTGATATTGCATTTCTCCTCAGAGATGAATCCTGTTCCTTCATGATGCAAAAGAAGCAGCCAGGGATAGAGCAAAATTGATTGATAGGCATGTTAAAAGCATTAGAAAGAGTTGTTCGTGCATCAAAACTGTGCTGGGCGAAGAAAGTTTATGGTCTAAATTGAGAAGAACATTTCAACCTTGGGGTTTTTATTAGGGTTAGGGTTTAAGTTTGAGTCAAAGACGGAAAGTGAGTGGATTAGGCCAAATTGTTGACAAGAAACGGCGCATGAGAAGATTATTCTCCAGTTTCTAACATTTAACAACTATTTTTAATTATAAAGGATGGAAAAAGTTACATTTTAGTGCTGCACACGTCTGATTGCAGGAAGTCGGGTTCTACCTAAATTTTCCTGTAACTGGGTAACTTTTACTTTCTTTTCTGGGATAGGAAAAGGCTTTTTTGTTTAATCCACTCTTCTTTCTTCCTTTTGAGACTTAACCAGAAACATTTTCGTCCTATTCAAAAGACAAAATCACATAAACTAAGGCTGGGAATTTAACAGTAGCACAACAACTTGAGCGGAATTGATAATATCCTTTGTTAATTTGGCCAAGCAGATCCATTTTTTTTTCCTTTTATTTGAAACTAGAGTAACTAAATTCCATAGATACATTTTACGATGTCCCTTTTTCGTCACTACGCTCCACCAAACGGTATATTAATCAAACTAAAAATCTATTAGTGGATCCATTGTCTTTGCTACGTTGAATGTTCTAATAAATCATTAGTATTAACCTATTCTAAATTGCCAAAATCCAGCACTAATCAGCTACGGTTTATTTGTTATTGCACAAAGATCAAATAAATTAGATAACAAGTTTAGGGCATGTTCAAATCAGATCCAATGCCTGCGAAGGTATCTAATTCTTGCAAGTGTACCTTACAAGCCTTGAAAAACCATAGATTAAATATGTATTATTTGCTTCATATAATCAGATGTGCTGGTGTGGTCCCTTTTCACTTTTGGACTTTGTATCTCCAATTTACAGTAAAACCTCGCACTTAATTATGCATATGTACTGATGCAATGAACATTTTATAAAGTATCAAGTACAAATTATTATAATCTCAATAACATGCAGCTTCCACTCATAACAGCTATAAAGTATTTTTGGATGGCATAAAAAGAAGAATTGTGATATGATCCTCAATACGGAACTGTTATAAATAATTTTCGCCTGCCTTAATTTATTCATTTATAACTGTTGTTATCTAGTCATCTATCTCGACCTTTTGAGACTTAAACAGAATCCTTTTTGTCATTTCTAAGAACAAAATCACATAAATTAAAGCATGAAAACAGTAAGATATCATTACTAGGTTGAATTTATCACGCCCCTCCATTAATTAGGCCATGAATGTTCTTAATGTGAAGTTGTGCAATTACCGATTTAATTTTTTTTACCATGAACCCTTTTTAAGATTAGGTTTGATCCAACCATATCTACTTCTACTAAAAAAATTAACAGAAAATTGACAAACTATTTAAAAACGAAAAGTCTGAAAACAAGGGCCATCTCAGTTGTTATTGGAATTGGAACTTCGGGTTTCATCCCAGAGAGTTAACGTGTTAAGAGGAGTAGCCCAAATTCCTTTTCAACCCAAGGCTATCTCATGTCTAGCTGGATTTTTAATTGCACTTTCTCAACTATAAGTATACCATGTCAACCATGCTACAAAAATATTAAGTTTGACATCAGGAATGACCGCATACACACACATGGGGGGTCGTGCATTATTTTATTTGTGCTGGACCCATGCATCCATGTGAGTGAGTGGTCATCGGTGCGGTCATCCTCGCAGGTCGTTTGGCTTTATTCATACCCTGTTGCTCAGTCTGTCTCAAGACCATTGAGTAATAAAGTTAGTAATAATTTTACCCTGAAAGATTTCCCTTACACCAAATTACCAAAATCCAGTCCTAATCACACTGCTGGGACCATCCGTTCGTCTCTTCTGTGTCAAAAGCTATGGTTAATTTTAATCATACAGGATGATGAAAAACCTGATGCGTATGGTTACATCAAAATCTTAGGAGGACCAAAGATTTATATGAATTACTTGATTCTCTATAATCAGAAATGCTATCGTGGTCCCTTCTCACCTTTAAACTTTGTAGCTCCAAGTTACGATAAATCTTCAGTTAATTAGGCATGGACTGATGCAATAATCATTTTATACAGTACTATGTACAAATTTGATAATCTCAAGAACATTACCTTCCATTCGCAACAGCTATAAAATATTTTTGGAAGACATAAAAAGAAGAATTACACGGTCTGATCTTCATTATTAAATTGTAGTCGGTATAAAAAAATTTCTGCCATTCGAGCACTTCATGTCGTGCTGAATTTGTTGCGATAGTGTAGAAAGGTATAGTTATAGACAGACTTCTGTTTTCTTGCGACGCATGTCACATAATCTAATTCGTTTATTAAGGATCGTAAAATTGGCATTCGTAATCTAGAGCAGCAAACTTATGGGGAAACTGACCAGTAAAGGAAGTTGGATTCTGTAAAGTTCGTACATATGGTTTTGAATACTTTTGTTTTTCAGATTTTTTTCAAGTTGTGCTTTTCCTTATGAATTTTATATAACTGATTTCATTTGTTATCTTGTAAAAGAAGCTTCAATTACTGTCAAAAAAATCAACTAAGATTGGTGCCTATTTCGCAGTTGAGCAAGATTACTCTACTACTCATCTTTTGGGCATGTCCGAAATGCCAAGAAAGCCGTGACTGGTATATATGTTTACTTCATAAAAACGTAAAGTTTTTATCAATTAAAAAAAAAAAAAAAGTGAAATAATTTATAATTTGTTTGTCAAATGGAGGCTTAATATGTGAGTATTGTTTATATAAGAAGTGTTTTTGTGGTCCCTTCACAAGTCCGGGAATTACTTAACAAGAACAGAAGAAATTAGAAAATAAATACAGTTTAAGTACAACTAGTTGTTGTCTCAAGAAAATGTGGCTGCGGTATCTAGTGCAAGAAATTGGTGAAAAGCAAAAGAGGCAGTCCTACATGTATATAAATTTTTCATTAAGTATTTATCATCAATCTGCATTATTAATTGGGAATTTATGGTAAAAAAACGAACGAGATTACAATTTTAGCATATATCCACCATGTCGTGGTTTATTATTGAGTTGTTCCACATTTTCTTTAGTTTACCTAACAAAAAATATTACGTAGGAATCAAGTAATTTTCAATTAAGTTGCAAAATGAAACAAGCAATTAAGTTTATGCTGCAAAGCAATAACTAAGATAAGAAATTATTTGATTTCATTTTTTCAATATATTTTTAACTCAGTAAAGTTAATTTCTTATTAATTTCAAGTTAGTTCAACAAAAAAGAAGATAATACACAGAATAAAATTATCTTTTAAAGAAAAAACATTTAATGAAAAATCAGTAATTCAAATTTTGAAGAATGATAAAATGTTAAAAATTGTTATACAAGTGGTATATATATATATATATATATATAGTAAGACTTTATACTTTTTTGGCAGAGGGAGTTTTTTGCTACCATTCAACAAACTTATATATAGAACTTTCGATGAGTTTTCAAACTGTGATATATGTTGGAGAAATTTTGTCATATGGGGCCACACGTGTATATATTAAAATATGTGACGCTATCTTTAAGGTTTAGTCAATAAGGTGATCCATTGAGTTTAATTTTGGACTAGTGGGTATTAATTTTCATAGAATCAAAGTGTGGAGACTAGAATAATTATTTTAAATTGTTGAGGTACCAATTTGAAATAATTGAATGATAATAATTAATTATTTAATATGGGTCGTGGTCCCCTATTGCACATGACTTTCAGAATTCCCTGCATCCCCATCAACAGAGAACGGATTTAAAAAAATCACGTATCAATTGAAAGATCATAGTCGATTTCAAAAAAATCAGATGCTTTCGCATTTATTTTGTTCTCTCATTGATTTCAACATGAAGATTCAAGAATCTACTTATTTTCGATTTCGTACAAGTGGTATCACAGCCAGTACATTATTGATTTCTTTGAGAAATTGCAAGAATTTAATGGAATTAAAGTTTTATATTGTGGATTACAATTTTAGATATTCATCGTGTGATTATGGATCAAGATCTTGTAATATTGTTTAAGAAATTTTTAGATCCGTTACTTATGGATCTGATTTTGTTGAAAGAGACAACCTTTGGCACATATTCATGTTTAATTTTTCAAGATCCGAGTTAAAATTTTCTAAATTCAAATTCTGATTTTCGTTTAAAAAAATAAAAAAATTCGCCGTCGACGATTGCAAAAGCGCTGTTGTCGGTTGGTCCCGACGCCATTAAGGCGGGAGGGAGATAAAAGAGATCTGGGTGGATTTTGGGGGTGAGGGCCTGAGATGCAATTTTGGTATTCTCAGGCCCTTGCTTGCAATTTAAAATTAGGGTTAATTATTTTTCTTCAAAATAAAAATTTACATTTCAGTCCCTAATGTTTTTGATCCATCCAAATTGGACCTTTAAGGTTACGAGTTTAATAATTCAGCACCCTAAATTTTGAAAATTATTTAATTTGGGCTATTAAGGTTCTGAATTTTGTAATTAAAGCCCTCAATGTTTATAATTAATCAAAATTGACCCCAAAATTTAAAATTTTTTAAAATTTGATCCCTAAAGTTTTGAATTATTAACCCTTAGATCCCTAAAGTTTCTAAAGGCGTCTAATAATGCAAAATTAATGATTCTCTTTCTCAAATTAAGGTATTAAGGACTCTTTTAAGAGGAATAATTAAGTTAATTACATGAGACAATCAATTAGTTTATTCAATATGTCACCAAAGTGACCTCTTTTGTGTAGATTGGTTTGTTTGTGATGTTTAGATGTTGTGTGTGTGCTTCTTCATACGGGCAAAGGAAGGCTAATACTTGGCCGAATTACATACATACCTATGGTGGTAAATGTGTGACAATTATAAGATTTCGATGTAAATAATAAATCAATCCAAAGATGGTTTCATTATTTGATAGGAGTTATTGTCAATGTTTGATAACTGTATTGAGAGTACCACTAGCAATTAATATTATTGTCCAAAGACTTGGTATTAATGTTGCACTAGTTATCTTGAGATAGAGCTTACCATTATTTGAATTTATTGTTCATTTAATATGGATATAAGCATAATTATTTGTTTATTTTTTTTCTCTCTGCAACTAA